CCAACTCAGCCGCATTTGATGAACCCTCAACCTGTTGGCGTTAGCTGCTCTCGACCGCCTGCACCGAAACCACCGGTAAGCTTATATTTCGCTATACGTAAAATATTCAGAAGAATAAAAAATAATGTAATTTTCTAACATAGAGAATGAAAGAGAGAACAGCAATCTAGATGAGAACGGTCTGTGTTATAGGTAACGGGTACGATGGAACCACCAAAAGTTGAAGTGTCCATATCTGGCTGCATAATGGTGCCGACCCCTAGCCCTCAGACTCGTGGAGTGCCAATCACAACATATGATGGTCCAATGGTAAGCATGCTGTTTATTGTATATACAACCTGTCGATGTTTGTTATTTTTAACTTTATAGCAACATATTTAATATGATTTTGTGTGTAATGGCACGAAATATACATTTTCCAAAATATGTAATACACAAACTAACGTTGCTTGGTTTTGGCTAGCATGGGAATGCGGGTGCTGCTCCATCATCAGGGGGCCAGTATGGACTTGTCCCCCCGCATCGATCCCAGAGTCCTCCATTGCCCCCACCTGCCCACCATCATGCTAACGCTTCTCAGGTACTTACTTATGCTAAGTTTATTTCCATTAAAATATGTAACAAACAGTCGACGTTTGAAAGGACAAATCGGAAATCACCCATGCTCGAAACATATAAAATTGAATAATAGGTGTTCTTCAGCGGTCTTTAAATTTAATTCGTCATTTCCTTTTATAGGGTGACGTCGTGAATCACTTCGGTGGCCTGACGCGTGGTGGAGAACTACCACCGCATTACATGCATCCTCAAGTGCTGCAGTATCAGTATTTGCGTGCTCAACAGGAAGCCTTGACAGCTCCGCGCATAACGTATCACATTCCAAGAACTAGATCTCCTCATCTACCGTTAGACCCGAAATTGGAGCCTGGCATAGAAGATAGTCATAGTCCGCCTTTAGAACTTAGAAGGAGTACAAAAACACCCCAAGATCGCACCACGGATAGTCCTCAAGTCGCTCAAGTATACATGCTGCACGGAGCACCAAGATTACCACCGCCGCCCCCGCAATACAACGCGGGTGGAAATCCAGCATTAACCGCACCGGCCGCTACACGCGGAGGATTCTACGAACCACCACCCGCACATCTGCGTTCTCAGTATCCAATCGCTGCCAGCGAGGCACCTAGTGACAGAGCCATCACACCAGACAGACCCAGGAAACACCAAGTGGCCACGCCACCACACGCCTCGCAAGTGCCACCGCAAGCAGACTCGTTTCAGATGTTGCTGCAACGATATCCGGTCATGTGGCAAGGTCTCCTGGCACTCAAGAACGACCAAGCTGCTGTACAAATGCATTTCGTTTTCGGTAACCCTAACGTAGCGAGGGATAGTCTGCCCTGTAACAGCGATGGCTCAACACCACCGTTGCGAATTGCTCAAAGAATGAGACTGGAACAGACGCAAGTCGACGGAGTCGCGAGGAAGATGCAAGTAAGTATAGTCATTTTCAACATGCTAATACACTAAAAATACCTTAGTTGATTAGCAGACTACGAATCTTTATGCGGACTCATATTCACCAAAATAAGAGAGACCAGGTACTGAGTTGTATTATTTCTTTTTTGTCATAGATGGACAATGAACATTGCATGCTCCTTGCGCTACCGTGTGGTCGAGACGAGGTGGATGTGTTGCAACAGAGTAAGAACCTTCAGACTGGATTTATAATGTATTTACAACAGAAACAGGCCGCTGGAATTGTTAATATTGCTGCACCAGGATCGCAACAGGTACGTGAACATTCGAACAAATAGCATTTACTAATATTTCCGATGGTAATAGTCGTCCATAAATATGTTCAGTATCAGTAATTAAACTATACTTAAATATGTACAAAAATATGATCTATCAGATCATCCCCTAATGAAAATTTCCTTTTAAATATTTAAAAGTTATGCATAAATCTAATCAGAAGCATTCGAAACGTGGAGAATAGTTCGATGGGCAGATGAGTGACAAGTTGTGTTTGATTTGTAGCCTGCATACGTAGTCCACATCTTCCCGGCGTGCGATTTCGCAAACGAAAGTCTGGCGCGTATCGCACCGGACTTACTTCACCGGGTCGCGAAGATCGCCCATTTACTCATCGTCATAGCCACGGTTTGAGGCCAGCCAGTGGTCTGCTGCTGGATTACAATCTACCGATATCTCTCGCCTTTACGCGCTGTAGGACGCTTCGCATGTGGCATGAAGCCTGGAGTGTCCTTCCGACGGAGCGCAAAGTCGTACAACAGGATAATGCTGAATAGAACAGGAGAGAGGGGTTCCGTCGAAGGGAAAGGTTTCTCCTCCGAAGATATATCTATATATCAGTGACAATCAAATGGATTTTTGGCAAACACGTGCCGATTTGACGGGATCGTTGGCCTAAAACGAGGGTACACGGGGTTGTGTTACTGTGGGGGAGGCTAGCCCTGTCAATGCGTGAACATCACCGGGCCTGTCTTCCCTCCAAAACGGAACGGTCAACGCGATCGCATTTGCCGCGATGGCTCTCGCAGTAACGTTCGCCAACTGACAACTTTTGTGAGATCGACCGACATCACTCTTGGTCCTTCTGACAAGCGGGTCAGGCACAACCCCAGTCCTTAGTGAAGACCTTCGATTAAGAGAAAACAAAACATGAAAATGACAAACCACGTGATGTCCTCAAGGCAGAAAGAATAACTTACACACGCAAATAGAGACATACACACACGAACACGAACACACCACGGACACCACGTATACACGTAATACACGTTCGTCCCTCGTCTAGGAAAACCGTAAAGAAAAAACATTACCTACCGTTGCTCTAGATGGACAGTTGATTTCGTAAGTAAGAAATAGAGAAAGAAAAAAAACTAACGTACCCCTACCACTATACACGAGCTATTTTAAGTAAGGCTTAGATATTAATGATACTGTGTAAATTATAAGCGAGCCAGCGAGGGCATAACTACTGTGATTTTAATTATTTAACGATATATGTCTGCGTAAAGACGAAGAAAACAAAAAGTAAAAACATATAAAATGGTGACCGGTGTGTCCCGGTCGCGCGCGGTATGTGATGTGTTTTTTGTATAATACTGCTCTATATAAATACCTATGTATTATATTACTGTAACAATAGTTGCTGCTGCCGCTGTTGCTGCTGCCGCTCGTGTCGAACTAGAAAGTAAAAAAAAAGAGTTACGATCTAGACACCTCTAGTGAAGAAGAAAAAAAAATGAGCGAAAGGACTACCTAAATAGCGTTTATCCCTAATGTAATATAATTTCCCATAGCAGGATGTAACATATTATTATCATTATTATCATCTTAGCACTATGTACATTATAAAAAAAATTTTTAATATTCTTATTTCGATTCTTTATTATCATTAATAATATTATTATGGTCATCATCATCACTAGTACGCTACCATTATTATTATTATTAAAAAATATTATTATTATTACTGTCATTCATTATTAATTATTATTGATTATTACTACCACTACTGCTACTACTACTATTACTACTATACTATTATCATCACTACTACTACTATTATTATTACCACTACTCTACTACTACTATTATCGCTGCTATCAATTATTATTAACGTTATTACACCAGGCTAGTTAGGACGTACCAATCCGCACATTGATAGAAGATGGGGCTTAAAGTATGTCGTACTGCAAAGAAAACTCAGTACGACCGATCTCATTGACCACTGACGTCGCCCCCGTTCTACACACTTCCATCCCCCCATTTCTCTTACCCCCTTGTCGCCTTCTGCGCGATGTGTCATAGACTCTTTAGCGATCGCGTCGAAGATAATAAAAATGCGCTTACGTGTATAGACCAGAAGTTACACTATATCACACGGAGCCGTGAAAACAAAACATATTAAGTAATATAAAGAAACTTACCTATTTACGATATTATTGCTGCTGCGTGTAGAGCGCATGCCTCTAGAGAGTAACGTTATGTAAAACTATTTGGGGATGGTCAAAACATGTTTTATTCCTTGCTATCGTGACCAATCGATTCCGAAAAAAACGACAAAAACGATCGCTCTTTTCGTCCCGATCGAAACGAGAGATCGTCGTTTTCTTCTTGCCCTTGTCATTTTTTTATTTTCTCTCTTTCTTTATGTTTATATGTATATACATATATATATTTATGTATATACATATAAACATATACAGAAATATATATATATATATATATATATATATTTCTGTATATGTTTATATGTATATACATAAATATATATATGTATATACATATAAACATAAAGAAAGAGAGAAAATAAAAAAATGACAAGGGCAAGAAGAAAACGACGATCTCTCGTTTCGATCGGGACGAAAAGAGCGATCGTTTTTGTCGTTTTTTTCGGAATCGATTGGTCACGATAGCAAGGAATAAAACATGTTTTGACCATCCCCAAATAGTTTTACATAACGTTACTCTCTAGAGGCATGCGCTCTACACGCAGCAGCAATAATATCGTAAATAGGTAAGTTTCTTTATATTACTTAATATGTTTTGTTTTCACGGCTCCGTGTGATATAGTGTAACTTCTGGTCTATACACGTAAGCGCATTTTTATTATCTTCGACGCGATCGCTAAAGAGTCTATGACACATCGCGCAGAAGGCGACAAGGGGGTAAGAGAAATGGGGGGATGGAAGTGTGTAGAACGGGGGCGACGTCAGTGGTCAATGAGATCGGTCGTACTGAGTTTTCTTTGCAGTACGACATACTTTAAGCCCCATCTTCTATCAATGTGCGGATTGGTACGTCCTAACTAGCCTGGTGTAATAACGTTAATAATAATTGATAGCAGCGATAATAGTAGTAGTAGAGTAGTGGTAATAATAATAGTAGTAGTAGTGATGATAATAGTATAGTAGTAATAGTAGTAGTAGCAGTAGTGGTAGTAATAATCAATAATAATTAATAATGAATGACAGTAATAATAATAATATTTTTTAATAATAATAATAATGGTAGCGTACTAGTGATGATGATGACCATAATAATATTATTAATGATAATAAAGAATCGAAATAAGAATATTAAAAATTTTTTTTATAATGTACATAGTGCTAAGATGATAATAATGATAATAATATGTTACATCCTGCTATGGGAAATTATATTACATTAGGGATAAACGCTATTTAGGTAGTCCTTTCGCTCATTTTTTTTTCTTCTTCACTAGAGGTGTCTAGATCGTAACTCTTTTTTTTTACTTTCTAGTTCGACACGAGCGGCAGCAGCAACAGCGGCAGCAGCAACTATTGTTACAGTAATATAATACATAGGTATTTATATAGAGCAGTATTATACAAAAAACACATCACATACCGCGCGCGACCGGGACACACCGGTCACCATTTTATATGTTTTTACTTTTTGTTTTCTTCGTCTTTACGCAGACATATATCGTTAAATAATTAAAATCACAGTAGTTATGCCCTCGCTGGCTCGCTTATAATTTACACAGTATCATTAATATCTAAGCCTTACTTAAAATAGCTCGTGTATAGTGGTAGGGGTACGTTAGTTTTTTTTCTTTCTCTATTTCTTACTTACGAAATCAACTGTCCATCTAGAGCAACGGTAGGTAATGTTTTTTCTTTACGGTTTTCCTAGACGAGGGACGAACGTGTATTACGTGTATACGTGGTGTCCGTGGTGTGTTCGTGTTCGTGTGTGTATGTCTCTATTTGCGTGTGTAAGTTATTCTTTCTGCCTTGAGGACATCACGTGGTTTGTCATTTTCATGTTTTGTTTTCTCTTAATCGAAGGTCTTCACTAAGGACTGGGGTTGTGCCTGACCCGCTTGTCAGAAGGACCAAGAGTGATGTCGGTCGATCTCACAAAAGTTGTCAGTTGGCGAACGTTACTGCGAGAGCCATCGCGGCAAATGCGATCGCGTTGACCGTTCCGTTTTGGAGGGAAGACAGGCCCGGTGATGTTCACGCATTGACAGGGCTAGCCTCCCCCACAGTAACACAACCCCGTGTACCCTCGTTTTAGGCCAACGATCCCGTCAAATCGGCACGTGTTTGCCAAAAATCCATTTGATTGTCACTGATATATAGATATATCTTCGGAGGAGAAACCTTTCCCTTCGACGGAACCCCTCTCTCCTGTTCTATTCAGCATTATCCTGTTGTACGACTTTGCGCTCCGTCGGAAGGACACTCCAGGCTTCATGCCACATGCGAAGCGTCCTACAGCGCGTAAAGGCGAGAGATATCGGTAGATTGTAATCCAGCAGCAGACCACTGGCTGGCCTCAAACCGTGGCTATGACGATGAGTAAATGGGCGATCTTCGCGACCCGGTGAAGTAAGTCCGGTGCGATACGCGCCAGACTTTCGTTTGCGAAATCGCACGCCGGGAAGATGTGGACTACGTATGCAGGCTACAAATCAAACACAACTTGTCACTCATCTGCCCATCGAACTATTCTCCACGTTTCGAATGCTTCTGATTAGATTTATGCATAACTTTTAAATATTTAAAAGGAAATTTTCATTAGGGGATGATCTGATAGATCATATTTTTGTACATATTTAAGTATAGTTTAATTACTGATACTGAACATATTTATGGACGACTATTACCATCGGAAATATTAGTAAATGCTATTTGTTCGAATGTTCACGTACCTGTTGCGATCCTGGTGCAGCAATATTAACAATTCCAGCGGCCTGTTTCTGTTGTAAATACATTATAAATCCAGTCTGAAGGTTCTTACTCTGTTGCAACACATCCACCTCGTCTCGACCACACGGTAGCGCAAGGAGCATGCAATGTTCATTGTCCATCTATGACAAAAAAGAAATAATACAACTCAGTACCTGGTCTCTCTTATTTTGGTGAATATGAGTCCGCATAAAGATTCGTAGTCTGCTAATCAACTAAGGTATTTTTAGTGTATTAGCATGTTGAAAATGACTATACTTACTTGCATCTTCCTCGCGACTCCGTCGACTTGCGTCTGTTCCAGTCTCATTCTTTGAGCAATTCGCAACGGTGGTGTTGAGCCATCGCTGTTACAGGGCAGACTATCCCTCGCTACGTTAGGGTTACCGAAAACGAAATGCATTTGTACAGCAGCTTGGTCGTTCTTGAGTGCCAGGAGACCTTGCCACATGACCGGATATCGTTGCAGCAACATCTGAAACGAGTCTGCTTGCGGTGGCACTTGCGAGGCGTGTGGTGGCGTGGCCACTTGGTGTTTCCTGGGTCTGTCTGGTGTGATGGCTCTGTCACTAGGTGCCTCGCTGGCAGCGATTGGATACTGAGAACGCAGATGTGCGGGTGGTGGTTCGTAGAATCCTCCGCGTGTAGCGGCCGGTGCGGTTAATGCTGGATTTCCACCCGCGTTGTATTGCGGGGGCGGCGGTGGTAATCTTGGTGCTCCGTGCAGCATGTATACTTGAGCGACTTGAGGACTATCCGTGGTGCGATCTTGGGGTGTTTTTGTACTCCTTCTAAGTTCTAAAGGCGGACTATGACTATCTTCTATGCCAGGCTCCAATTTCGGGTCTAACGGTAGATGAGGAGATCTAGTTCTTGGAATGTGATACGTTATGCGCGGAGCTGTCAAGGCTTCCTGTTGAGCACGCAAATACTGATACTGCAGCACTTGAGGATGCATGTAATGCGGTGGTAGTTCTCCACCACGCGTCAGGCCACCGAAGTGATTCACGACGTCACCCTATAAAAGGAAATGACGAATTAAATTTAAAGACCGCTGAAGAACACCTATTATTCAATTTTATATGTTTCGAGCATGGGTGATTTCCGATTTGTCCTTTCAAACGTCGACTGTTTGTTACATATTTTAATGGAAATAAACTTAGCATAAGTAAGTACCTGAGAAGCGTTAGCATGATGGTGGGCAGGTGGGGGCAATGGAGGACTCTGGGATCGATGCGGGGGGACAAGTCCATACTGGCCCCCTGATGATGGAGCAGCACCCGCATTCCCATGCTAGCCAAAACCAAGCAACGTTAGTTTGTGTATTACATATTTTGGAAAATGTATATTTCGTGCCATTACACACAAAATCATATTAAATATGTTGCTATAAAGTTAAAAATAACAAACATCGACAGGTTGTATATACAATAAACAGCATGCTTACCATTGGACCATCATATGTTGTGATTGGCACTCCACGAGTCTGAGGGCTAGGGGTCGGCACCATTATGCAGCCAGATATGGACACTTCAACTTTTGGTGGTTCCATCGTACCCGTTACCTATAACACAGACCGTTCTCATCTAGATTGCTGTTCTCTCTTTCATTCTCTATGTTAGAAAATTACATTATTTTTTATTCTTCTGAATATTTTACGTATAGCGAAATATAAGCTTACCGGTGGTTTCGGTGCAGGCGGTCGAGAGCAGCTAACGCCAACAGGTTGAGGGTTCATCAAATGCGGCTGAGTTGGTGGACTGGCCACCGTTCCGGTGACTATTGGAGGGACTACCGCCTGCAGTAGATGAGCCTTAGGGTTCAAAGGATGAGGTTGACCATTAATTGCCTTCAATGCAGTGGGCTGCGATACAGGTTGATGAATCCTGGGTGTTGGTGTCGTGACACTAGCCGGATGAACATTCATAGGTAATTTCTGAGGTAGATTCACAATCGTAGATGGCTGTTGCTGTTGTTGTTGTTGTTGTTGTTGTTGCTGTTGTTGTTGT